AGGTCATCCTCGCCACGTCCTCTTGGCCCAGCTGGTGAGGGCGGCGCGGAAGAAGGGATTGGCCCAGGCGTAGAAGGGGAGGAACAGCAGGAGGTGGAGGCGCTGCAGGAGGGCCGGGATGTTCCTGTTCATCTGGGCTATCTCGACCTGGGTCATGCTCACGACGACCATTATGATCTGGAAAAAAGATTTCGGTCATGTATGCAGAGTATGTAGAGTAGACATCCACGCACACGAACATCCATACAGGCGTACATATATACATACATATATACATACGTACTGGACATACATACAAACAAACATACACGGTAATAAACTATCTCTCAAGCAATGCCAGACGCAGGTACTCACGTGAGGGAGAGATAAGATAGTGTAGAGGACGAAGACGTGGAGCGCGCACCTCTCCGTTCGCACTTTCGCGAGGAAGTCGAACTTGGCGATGTCTGCGTTCGGCGAAGCTCTGTGGTGCTTCCTCCTGAACTCCAGCGCCACCAGGAGGTACGCGACGAAGGTGGCGAGGGCGCCTAGGATGTACAAGACGACGTAGGTGGCATAGAAGGAGACCGTCACCCGCATGTCAGCGCACGGAGCCTGACCGTCGATCGCAGACGGCACCGCAACCAGGGCGAAGGGCAGCGTCCAGCAGGCGAGAGTGACGTAGCAACAGCGGCGCTTGGTGACCAGCATCGGGTAGCGGAGGGGCCAGCACAGGTACAGGTATCGGTACAGCGCCAGACACGTCACGCAGAAGCAGGAGACGACGTGCAGGTACCGCAGGAGAATGTTCAACACGACGCACCACATGACACTCCTGTCGTTTGGACACGAACGCGAAAGGAGTCTGACGTTGAAGGCGAAGGGAGCGCAGACAGCAGGGTGATACTGACGGCCAGACTGTACACGAAAGGGCTCGGCTCTCTCTTCCTCAAACGCCGCTCTTTGATGTATATAAACAGGGTCAACACGCCCTCAACCATGGTCAGAAAGGTTATCGCCACGAAGAGTGAGGAGCTGACGGAGCACTCCATGGAGGCTTGAGATTCAAGGGTCTGATCCATGGTGTCCCTTCCTTGGTGTCTTCGTGTAGAGACTGAGACACTGAGTCCCATATAGTTTACCACTAGGTCGCACGCACTCAATGCCTGTATGTATGAAACGCAATGTTCTTGTTCAGACTTGACATTGCCATTCCAACGAAACACAAACACCTGCCACGTATTCGCTTCGTACTATACACAACAATGTTTCATATTGCCACCTTCCTTCACAAGTGAGATAAGATAAGTCTTAGATAGCTCACGCCTGTCTGATGCTCAAGATTTCCACGAAGAGAGAGCTCCAGGGCCCATCTCTAAGTACTTGACATTAACATTCGTCGAAAACTAGATTTCGACATGAGAATTCTAACTGACAGCGCTTTGAAAAAACACTTCGAGTCGTCAGCACTAGTTAACAGTTATATATAAATCGTAACGTTGTTTCCGCACGAGGCCTAAATCAGTTTAAGAATGTCCTGTTTCTCTATCTTAGCCTCCTGTTGTTGCAGATCCCGAGGAAACACATTCCCCACTCAACTGTGTGTCCCAAACTGACCCGCAGGATATGTCGAAAGCCTTCATATACCCCGAGTAGCGCAGGATATCTGAACCAACGTATTTTATCGTCACTACCGTTATTTATATCCGACGGAAAAGGAGACCCTTGAACAAAATAAGACCAGATCGTTTTTAACCGTACTCTAAAAAAACAAAAAAACATGTGATGACGCACCGAAATGTTTCTTTTTTCCTCGTCTAATGCACAAAGCACGACGAATCCTTCAAAGGTAGGATCAAGATTTTGCTCACACGACACTTGTTAATAATATACAGCACTGGCTCGTCAGGTCGTTCGGGGAAGAGTGAGCTTGCTGGCTGATCGGCGTCACTTCCTTTCGGGCGGAAGCCAGCGTCGTGATAGCCGAACATTCTTCGATCACGCACGCGCACGCTCGCTTCTATGAGTGTGGGTGTGTGGGTGTGCGAATGAATATGTAATATATGTATGTATGTAATAATATTATTATATATATATATATATATGTGTGTGTGTGTGTGTGTGTGTGTGTGTGTGTGTGTGTGTGTGTGTGTGTGTGTGTGTGTGTGTGTGTGTGTGTGTGTGTGTGTGTGTGTGTGTGTGTGTGTGTGTGTGTGTGTGTGTGTGTGTGTGTGTGTGTGTGTGTGTGTGTGTGTGTGAGTGTGTGTAAACATATATAATTATACAATTATAATTGTCATAAAAAATGATGGTCTGAGGGTGTTCTTTGTGAATAAAATTTTCTGATCCAGATTCAGGTTCATATAAACTCCAATGTCCTTTACCAGATTTATTAAAAATCAAAAGAAATCAGTATATGGATTTGGAGAGCACTTAGCAAGAAAAAAATAATAATAATAATAATAATAATAATAATAATAATAAATATCAAAGTCTTCGGCCTAATGTAGGATAAGAATATTAGGATTTTTTTTTTTACTAATAAGATATTTTCAGAGTTCAAAATTAACTGGATAGCACTTTTCCTTTAATATTTTCCCATAATCCACTTTTCCGTAAATTTCAAAACTATCAACACTTCCCTGGGTTTCCCAACTAGGGTCCTGAATCCTGACCAGCAGCTCTTCCTCACCGATGAACAAATATGGATTATGAACAAATAAATGGACGCCTTCACCAACCGACCTTGCTTGGGCGGAGAGTCAAGCCTAAGGACAAAAATAATACACAAATAATCATCCCTTCTACAGTACATAGTAACTAAACTGTTCACTTGGACCGTAGGGATATAAACAAACCAAAAAAAGAACACAATAAAGTTCACAAAAGAACAATATCAGAAGATATATATATATATATATATATATATATATATATATATATATATATATATATATATATATATATATATATATAACCTCCACCTTGATTTGAATGAAAACAAATTCGAAAGAATGACTCTTATTTTCGATTCCATGAACCCGAACCCCGAACCCAAAACTGAATCACTGGTATTCGCACACAAAAAAGTTCTTGAATAAATCAAAGTAAATATACCTTGAGCCTTGACATATATATATGTATATATACATGTATATATATAGACATATATATATGCATCTATATAGACGTATATGTGTATATATATAACATACATATATGCATATATAAAACATATGTATAATCATATATATATATATATATATATATATATATATATATATATATGTATATTATATATATATTATACATATACATAACACATACATACATACATACATACATACACACACAC